GGGAGTATCAGGAAGGGCTTCCTGGAGGAGTGGGTGTCTGAACTAAGACCTGAAGGATGAGGAGAGGGTGACCGAGTAGAAGAGGTGGGAAGGACTTGCCAGGCGGAGGGGACAGAGTATGCATAGGCCCAGAGTGTGAGAGGGATTAGGGTGAGCAGTAAGGCTGGACTTGTTGGGAAGAAGCTAGAATACACAGGACCTCTGTGTGTCAGCTCACAGCGTCCTCATTCCCCCTTCTCCTGCGCACTCAGGGTGCACCAGCCACACTGCTTCTCAGACGTCCCAGGCAGGCTTTGCCTTGGGGCCTGTTTTATATCCCACACAGCTCACCCCTTCTTTTTAGTCTCTATTTCAGTGGAATTTTCTGAGTGACGTTTGTCAATATAAAATTTAGCGTTTTGTCTTTCCGTTTCTTTGCTTTATTTGATTTTTGTCCATAAAAAAAAAAACCCATTGCCATCGGGTCAATTCCAACTCACAGTGACCGTAAAGGACAGGGTAGAGCTGCCCCGTCGGGTTTTGAGGAAGCAACTGGTGGGTTCGAAGTGCTGACCTTTTTGTTTAGCAGCCATAGCTCCTAACCACTGCGCCACCAGAGCTCCTGGGGATTTTGTCTTTAGCTGTTACTTTTCTGAAGACGAGCTGCAGCTGTCATTTTTACTTCAGTCTGCCTGACTCCAGAAGCCAGCGTGCCCAAAGAACTGGTTCTTCCTTCTTTCACTTGTTTGATAACTGTTGGAGCTCTGGTGGCGCAGTGGTTAAGAGCTCGGCTACTAACCAGAAGGTCAGCCGTTGGAATCCACCAGCTGCTCCTTGGAAACTCTATGAGGCAGTTCTACTGTGTCCTGTAGGGTCGCTCTGAGTCCGAATTGACTTGACGGCAACCGGTCTGGTTTCGTTGTTGTTTTTGAGCATCTGCGCTGTGCCCGGCAGCGACACACCTGTGAGCCAAGTCTGAAAAGATCTCTGTTGTAGCTGTTTTCAGTGTGTGGAGTACAAGTTAGGTGAACAGTGACCACAGTGAGCAGCTGTGAAGGGGGAGTGGAGATGAGGGCCAGGCAGGAGGAGACCACAGAGTTGGGAGACCTCGTCCCCGCTGACCCCCCACCCTTTACCTCAGGTCATTGACCACAGCGGTGCCCGCCTTGGGGAGTACGAGGACGTGTCCAAGGTGGAGAAATACAAGATCTCACAGGAAGCCTATGAACAGAGACAAGGTATCGGGCACACGGGGACGGATGGGGCTGGTGGGCACCAGAGGGGGCGTCTGCAGAT